GGGGGGGGAATGGCAAAGTCAAAGTCAGCCGGGCCCCAACCACACGAACCTCAGGTCCTTTGACTTGATCATATGCTTAGTATAAAATAAAGGCAATATTCATGGTTTGTTCTTCAAATCTGCTTCAGAAGGAATATCGGCATTTGAGGTTCTCCCAGTAATATTAATATTTAAGGTAGACAGGTAGTTCTTGTTTTACAACCATTCATTTAGCAACCATTCAACATTACAGTGGGGCTAATAAAAGTTATTTACGACTGGTCCTCGTAGTTATGACTGTTGCAGCATCCCCATAGTCACATAATCAAAATTTGAGGAAATGGCAATTGTTACATATTTATGATGGTTGCAGTGCCCCGGAGTCACATAATTACTTTTTGCAACATTCCCAGCCATCTTCTGACTACTAAAGTCAATGGGGGAAGCCGGTTTTCTATAATGGCTACATGATTTGCTTAACAACTACAGTGATTCACTCTAACACTTTTGCCACTCCATGGCAAAAAAGATTGTAAAATCAGGCAAAACTCACTTAAAAAAAACTCTTGCTTGGTAACAGAAATGCTGGTCCAAATTGTAAACCAAAGACTACCTGTAATAAAACACCACCTAATGAGAAGGAAGGACTCACTGGAGAAGGGCCTAATGCTGGGAAAGATTGAGGCAACAGAAGAAGGGGACGACAGAGAATGAAGTGGCTGGATGGAGTCACTGAAGCAGTAGGCGTGAGCTTAAATGGACTCCAGAAGATGGTAGAGGACAGGAAGGCCTGGAGGAACGTTGTCCATGGGGTTGCGATAGGTCGGACACGACTTTGCAATTAACAACAACAACAACAACAATAAAACATGTTCAATCTTTTCAACGCTAAGAGTGTTTCTGCTGTGATTAAGTTCTTAAATATCTGAAGTAGGATTGAAAAGGTAATGCTACATGAATGCTACCATGAATTCCTGGATGACAAGTGGGATAGGAATCTTAATAAACTAAGTAATACATCAGTAACGATGTGCCCCATTCAGAGTGAGCAAAATAAATCCCTTTATGTTTGTTGAGTTTTCTGTTAGCTTTATAATGTAAGCTAATCTAGTTAACTTTAACTTCCAAAACTAATATATAAACTCAGTTCATTGATTCATTGATTTCTGCACTTCTTTCAATATCCTAAGGTAATACTCTAATAAAAACAATGGCTACAGAATTTTAAAAATGTACACAATATGGTCTGTGTTAAGGGCAATGCTAAACAAAAGTCAAAGTTGTCTGCCAAAACATGATTATTCCATGCAATTTTTATGCATGAAAACATCTAAAAATGCAGAACTGAGACAAAAAAAGGAAAGTTAAAATAAGCACAGTTTCCTTTACTTATTAGAGTTTCTTGCTTTCAGGCACTGCGGTCACAATTCACCCATTTTCATTTAGTTGCTCTTTAATGCTGACCATTTACAGCTACTGTTTACAGTTTTCAATGAAATGAACATTCAGAAACACTTACTCTCTGGTCAACAAAAATAAGCACCAAACAAGCAATTAAACTACAACTTTTTTCATTCGAGACAACTGGAGAAATGCTATTAAAAAGCAATTCAAAGGGCAGTTTAGAAAAACAGCAGAGATAAACACAGAACTCCTTAAAACACCACACAGTAGCAGAAACACAACAGCATTAAAAGGCCTGAGGTAATATAAAGGACATTGTGAGATTTAAAAAGCTGAAATCCTTCTTCCAGGACACTGATATACCCCTTCTAAGAAAATTCCAATGTTACTCCTGTTTCCTCTTCTTGGTTTTAAATGGTAGAATCCAAAATCTCACCCTCAAAATATTTGGATGCACTCTATACAAATGATTCTTTGTACAATCAAGGTACACCTTAACTATTAAATTAACATTATCATGTACATGTCAAAACATCCCAGAAAAAATATTGCTATCATGTTCCTGGGCAGACAGTAGCTCTCTGTAGCCAATTCTATACTATTTTCTGAGGTAGCAACCCAAGGTAGGTAACAAAAACCCATGGAAGAGAAAAATCAGGGTGGATAGACCATGCACATCATCACAGCAGGAGGCTCACCTGTGGCCGGGGATGGCCTGTAACCAAACACGTCAGCTCCAGGGTCTCTCCTTCACGGATGGTGTACACTCTTTCTGAATACCGTTCCTCCTCAATGTTACAGGCGAGGCCTGAATGGATAATCCTCACTGTGGGTGGGGCTGTAAAGACAAGCAGAAGGAAAACTCATCAGTTATAATGGACTGTAAGAATAACTTTGAATATCACAAAGATGAGCTGCAACCAAGACAATGGGAAAAGAAATCTGAGTCCAAAGCAGGAATGTAATCTGAAAAAGTGTCTCAGATTTTAATCTCCCTAGTTCTCTTGAATGTAAAGGCAGAGGAAAAAAGAGGAAAGTTCAGATTTGCAAGATCTTATAAACCTTATAATAGAAGTAGCATTAGCATACAGACCTTTGGTTTCCTAGGTTGGACTACCTCATAGGGGTGACATCAGCAAAGAGTTTTAGCTAGGAAGACTGGGTAGGGATATGTACAAACAACTGATGCAGAGTTGTGACATTTGGAATACTGTTTTTTAATTGTTGTTGCTGCTGTTTTGCCTTATTTTGGTTATATGATTAATGGGCCAAATGAAGCCATTTAGCCACTAAAAAACAAAAACAAATCTTTTTTTATAATATATTTTATTAATTTTTTAACAAGCATACGTCACTCAGTAATTGGTAAACAGTGTGTTGTCTGGGTTACATTTGTAAAGACACTACTTAACAATTGATTTCTATAGTCTGTATTCCATATATTAATTTTAGTTGATTTCCTCTTTCCCCCAAACATACTGTTTTTTAATTGTTGTTGCTGCTGTTTTGCCTTATTTTGGTTATATGATTAATGGGCCAAATGAAGCCATTTTGCCACTAAAAAAGAAAAACAAGTCTTTAGTGCCAGAGACAGAATAGCAAATTATAAAGCTTTAATAGATAATATATCCTATTGTCAGTCAACATCTTTTCAAAGTTGCCTCTCTAGGTGCAATAGATATAATGGTATGTTGGAAAAACCTTAGAAGAATGTGCCAAGAAACAGTATCTGGGAAACTATTGGATAAGAGGCAGCATAGCCTGCAACTGTACAGTGGGCAGGGCAAAGAGGCTCAGTGAGACCCTCCTCAGTTTCTCAGGCTATAAGGGAGCTGGAGGGAGAATTGCTCTTTCAGACTTGCAAGATTCTGTTAATGTAGCCTTACAATAAAATATAATTAGTTTATTTGGTCTGGTCTGGTCTGGTCTGGTCTACTTGGTAAGGTTGACATTAGACTGACATCTCTTGCAATGTGTGCCCAGGTCTAGGTCCCTGAGTGTGCTAAGAACCCGAGAAATCAGATAAACAGAAATCAAATAAACAAATAAATCTGTTTCCATCATTGGTCTACTCAGTATAATCCGAATCCCTTTCACTTCAAGTAATAAACTTTTTTGGGGGGGGAACCTTGGAGTTCCCAAGATTGTGCTAACTTGGCTGCCTTGCCCCTTTTTTCCAGCCATATATCCCATGCACCCCATTCTTGGGATCCTTCACAAGCCTTCTGGTCTTTTCCAGGTCTTGTGAGAATGGGCATTCTACTTGGAGAAATGTCAGGAGCCCTGTTCTCACACTGCTGTGGAAGACCTCATTCTCCAAATGAGAATGGCAATCATTAAGTGAACCAATGGTTCGCTATTGGCTGGTTCTGGCCAAAACAGGAAGTAAATGCTAGTTTTTAAGAAAAATGTCTTAAAACATAGTCATGTGACTGCAGGATGTTTGTCAACTACCTAAAATGTGGTCATGTGACTATCGGGGTGGGGAGACTGCCATTGGAATTTGTAACTGGGTCATAAGTATGCCTGGGGGATCAGATGTAATTTCAAACATTCACTAAGTGACTATCTGTATTTGCAAATAACCATCACCTTTCAGCAGGGAATAAAACCTGACCAATATTTGCTTGTCTTCAACAGCTAAGCAGGCTCAGACCTGATTAATACACGGATGAGAAACTACTGGAGAATTCCAGGGCTTAGGGTGAAACAGGGAGATGAAAACAGCTGGAGGAAGGAAATAGCAAATATGCAGTTGAAGAAATTTCAATATGTATGTTTGTATATATACATACATATACATACAGCTCCTAAATAAATATGTTCTTGCAGGTTGAGAAAATGCTATGTATTTACTAATATTGTTCCGCCTGAAAAGTATTAATGGATACAGGCGCATTCATCACCGTGTTATTAATCTCCAAAATCCCCTGAAGGAAACTTTATATTTTTAATTTTAACTCAAGGTATTTTCCCTCTTAATTTACAGAAAATTAACTTTTCATTATTCTTTCTTTTTCATTATATATGCTGCTTGAAATGTATTATCTTGCTCATTACACAAGCAAAGCACTTTAATGAGGACAATAAAATTAAGGAGTCGGCATGATGGGATTCATCCTCTTTTCTTTTTACACAACCCATAATGAAAGTCTGACTGCCATCGATGGGACAGACTTCCTGATTGCCTGTTGTAGATGCAGAGATTACAAGATTCAATCATTAAATAAAGTAAGAGCCCTCCACGTGTCTTAATTTCATCAGGCAGAAGAGTTCTAATCCTTGGGGGTAAAACACAAGATGTGAAACCTTAACTAAGACTCTACAGAATTTAGAGTTGATTTTCAGTCCAGGTTTAACCCAGAGTGAAGTGCACTACAGCAGTGATGTGTGTCAGGAGAGAAAATTATATTGGGCATAAAATATAAGAAAATAAATTAAAAACATCTACACAGACTGCCTATTTTTGAAATGTCAGGCAGGCACTAAAACCCAGAACATTTAGTGATCCCTGGCTAAGCCATTATAAAACAGTAGTGGAAGTTTACTATTGTACAAATCACAGCTTGAGATAACTACAGAAAAACCTGGTGGAAAATTCCCTTGATATGCCATAGAAAGATGGGTGAGAAGATGACGCTCAATAGTAATATTTGTCCTGCAACTGAGAAAACGTGAAGCATCAAGCAAAGCATTGCAGCAGCGTCCGGAGAGTGAGCGAGCCAGGTGGCAGAGAAGGTGAGAACAGACAGGCTTGGTGGAAAACTTCAATGTTCAGATTGGTTCACAGAGGTATATAATATGCCTGCCTCAAACAATCTGCCAGCAATATTATGCTCGCCTTTAGACTTCTTGGTGCTCTCTGAGCTTGGTTGTTTGCTTGCAGACCTCATTTCCTAATTTGGTAACTTTTACAGCTTTCCATCTGAACGAGCTGGAAGGGACCTTGTCCAGCCCCCCCCTCCCCGCTCAAGCAGGAGAACCTATACCATTTCAGACAAGTGACTGTCTATTCTCTTCTTAAAAGCCTCCAGTGATGCAGCACCCATGATTTCTGAAGGCAATCTGTTCCACTGGTTAACTGTCCTCACTGTTAGGAAGTTTCTCCTTCATTCCAGACTGCTTCTCTCTGGTCAGTTTCCATTGTTTCTTGTCCTGCCCTCTGGTGTTTTGGAGAATAATTTGACCCCCTCTTCTTTGTGGCAGCCCCTCAAAGACTGGAATACTGCTATCATGTCGCTATCATTTTAGTAGCTCTTCTCTGAACTTTTTCCAAAATCTCAACATATTTTTTGTAGTATGGTGACCAAAATTGGTTGCAGTATTCCAGGTGTGGTCTTACTAGGGTTTTATAAAGTGATACTAATGTTTCACGTGATCTTGACTTCATGAGAGCAAGTCAGTATACAGAGCAAGTTATCTGCAGGACCATGTTTCACTAAGGACACCTACCTGTTCTACCAAACCAGATAGAGTAGGCATGCCCTAGTCCAGTGGTGGCGAACCTATGGCACGGGTGCCAGAGGTGGCACTCGGAGCCCTCTCTGTTGGCACACACACCGTCACTCCAGCCCCGCCTCCTCCCATGGCCCCCTCAACAGCAGCCCCCCCGGAGGATAGTTGCCCCGGGGCGCAGCCCATATGAAGCAGCGCAGCCAAAGACATGATAGCTGGGCAATGGGGACAAGACTCCACCCTTGTGCCCCATCACATATAGATGATGCTGCAGGGCATGGGCGTAGCTTGTGGCCACCATGGCGCTGCTGGGCTGCCTGGGTGATCTGTGGCAGGCCATGGAGATGGTAGGTGGTCCAGTGGGCAGGGCGGAGCAGGGACGGGGTGGGGAGAGTGGTTTTGGGGCACTTGATCTCTAAAAGGTTCGCCATCACTGCCCTAGTCCATATCCTTAAATATTATCAACTTATGGGAGCTAGGAAACCTGCTTTTTCCGTAGCAGCCCCTACCATATGGAACACCCTTCCCCCTAAAATTTGACAGACCTCCACCCTCCTAGTCTTCCATAAAACACTGAAGACCTGGCATTTCCCCAACCTCTGGCACAGGGTGAGGTGGGTGAGGAGATTTTCTGAGAGACTGTTATGTCAGACATTTAATTTTGGTGCCAGGTATTTATGGTTTTAGTATATTTCCTTTATTATGTTTTATTATTAATATTGTTTTATTGCTAATTGGGAGTCACCTAGAGTTCAATATAAGATGGGCAGCTATATAAATGTTTTAAATAAATAAATAAACATTACCTAGTTAGATAATGATACCATCTGCAAGCAAACATCCAAGGTCAGAGAGCACCAAGAACTCCACAGTTCAGCCCTGAACTACAAATTGTCATGGTTCCGATAGATGAAACCCATCAAAAGAACTTCATGGCAAAAATTCTTCCTTAAAGAACATTTTATTCAGGAAACAAAGTATTGGCACTACATAGTTGAACCCCAAAATTAAATTCTCTTCCCCCAGATACAAAGTAACAAAGTGCAATTCCCACCCCCAATAAGCTGTCATAAATCACATTCTCCAATTAGCCTAAAACACAGGCTTTCTCCCCAGCTCCTCAGCCCACTAAAACGTTATCAGCTCGTCCTTGGGTTCCCACAAAGCAGCGTTATTATTCTGGCTAGCTGAGCTCAAGCTTTCATCCCAACCCCCCCCCTTCTGCACCTAATTTCTAAATACCAGAAAAAGCATGTTAAAAGCAAAGAGAAAATGGCTGTAATTTTCATCAGTTGTCAGAGCGGGAACATCCAATGTTTACAGTGTTGACATCAATATTATCTTTTATTATGCTCACCCTTGTCTTCTCAGTTTCTGCCCCAC